GAAAATGAAATTGGAGTTTGAATTCTGGCTGAAACTGCTTCTGATCACTTAGCACTAGTGCCCTAGGGAAAGGCATGAAATCGTTTCACCCTGCATTTTATATATATATATACAATATGTGAGGTACTTTAACAGGACAGAAAGAAGAATCAGCAAACAAAGTTTTAATTTCAACTGAAGTTCATGGTTATTTAACACTAATACTCTAGGGAAAGGCTTGAATCCATCTCTCCCTTCATTCTCTATATGTACAATATTAAGGTGTGAAGTAGCATAACAGTATTTAGCAAGAAAAACAGAATTAATGAACCTGGTTCAAATTTTAGTTGAGGCCACTTATGGCTACTTAGCATGAATACTCTACAATAAAGCATGAATCTACCTCTCCCTGCATTCTATGTATGTTCAATGTAGACGTGTGGGGTAGCATAACAGTTATTAGTAAAGAAAAACAGAATTAGTAATTAGAAATTGAATTTCTGCTTATGCTTACTTAGCACTAATTCTCTTAGAGAAAGGCATGAATCTACTTTTCCCTGCACTTTGTTCTATTAACAGATATCAAGACAAAATGTGGGTGAGAGTACCTGGGAAAAAACACTCTTATATAACTCTCTTACCTCTCTAGGCAGTAGCAGTAAAAAGTTGTCATCTTGTGTGTGCATAAAATGATGATTGTAGGTATTGATTTGTGTATAAATGTAATCCCTACCTTTCCTTAATTTATTTTGGTAATGGCTCTTTTGTTATACATGTTTAATTAATAAAGCCAATTTTATCTGCTTTATTATTAAGTAGAAATACCCATGAAAATGTCATGGTTTTCCTATTTGAATTTTCTAATGAATCATAATTCTTAAGTTGAATAAACTCCTTAAATATTCCACAACACTAAACTACAAACTACCTTCGGAAATTTCCCTATTGTCTTATTAAATATTTGAGTTAAACAACTTTAACAAAAATACATATGAATGTAGATCATTATTTAAAGAAGAGGGTACAAATGAAAAGATTAAAAATTGACAAGGTTTTTCCTTTCTGAAGCAGTCATTAAACACATGAGAGCATTATCACCTCCTTTATCTACCCCTTCTTTCTTTTGTTACCTTTTCTTTCCCTAAAAACAAGCAGTGTCTTTGATATATCTTTCCTTTCGTAAATACTTTGATGGTAATTGTTTGGATGAACTCTTTTCTATAGTGCCTAGACTTAATGAATTTAAGTGCAGTACTAGATTGGCAGCAAGGTCTCATCAATTCACAGCTAAGTTGGCTAGATGTAGCTGTAAGTTCTATGCTAACAGTTTCTTTTCTTGCACTTCTCGCTTGTAGAACTCTCTTCCAGCCAATTTTGATCTTCAAAAATTTGAATGCAATGTTAATCATTATCTACCGTCTTCTTGATTACTCTTCTATTGTTCTCGCTTTTTAACTATGTTTCTCTTTTTTCTTATTCTTTCACACCGCATCCTGGGTAAGATGATAAACTACATCCAACAGGAAGGCCCCTGATCAGGAGGTTTTGAGGAGCATAGAACCACCTCTTAATTGCTGGTGTTCCCAGGTCCACCCTGACCTGGGGTGGTAGCATCTGTTAGGGTCCCAGCTATGGGTAAATAGTTAACACCCAAATTTGTGTAAAAATATGTTTTAATACCAGAAATACTTTGTAATAAAAAAAAAAAAATTTACCAGCAATAATTTTTGATGGAAAAATTATTATCAGCAATACTTTAAAAAAAAATATACCAGCAATACAAACAGCTATACATTCTTTGAAAAAAAATATGACCAGCTATAGATTTCTTCAAGGAAAAATATTCCCAGAAATAGATTTTTGAAGAAAAATATATTACCAGCAATAAAAATTTTGTCTGCATTAAATAACCCATTGAGGTTGATATGCCATAAAACAAACCAAACCAACCTTTTTTACCAAACTATCACTATGAATCTATTTCAAAATTTTGTTGGCATTAAATGTCCCACTGAGGTTGATATGCCATAAAACAAAACAACCAACCAATCTTTCACACTCCGTAGCCCCTTGTGTCTTAGTTGCTTTACTGACGTGCATGGAGTGAAATGATTAACAACAACAAAAAAAAAACTCTCTTCACAATCAAACAGGAATGGTTCATTGTTTATCTCAGGTAATGACAGGGTGTAATGTATGCATTAAGGAACAAACAGAATTATAATATGATTTTTCTGAATATACAATTTTTCTACTTTTATGTTATCAATGACAGTGTTGACTTCAATGTTCACTTATACTATATATATATATATATATATATATATATATATATATATATATATATATATATATATATATATAATCTTGAAAAGAAGAGAGAAACCCCAAACGTTTTGGTTATAATGTGGATTTTTTAAAATATATTATGCTTTATTTTCCATAATTTTGCTACACAAGTTTCCAGTCTCACGTCCTCCATCAGGCAAAGAGTGGATATTTCTACATATTATTTAAAGGAATTAATTTTTCTTATGTTTTTCAATGTTAAACATTCTCTTTGTGTGTTAGTGACACAAATGTCTTCCTTGAACTGGCAATGAGAAAGTTCTTCTGTGTGAAGGGTAATAAAACAATTAAGATTGGTCTGAGAAAGGGTGAGGAAAGATATCTATATTCTTATCTTTTAATGACACCTTTGTGTTCTTAGATCTATTTCCATTTTTTTGTATTTTGTGTGTTTTTATCAGCATGAGTATGTATATGTATATTCCCTCTCCATACATACATACATAATTTCTTTTCTGGACAGAAATTATATAGAAATTGCTGTATGTCCATTCGCTTTCAGCTATACTTTTAGCCATTATCAAGAATGATTTTATTTTCACATTTAAGTGAATGTATGGATTGTTTTATGTATGTATCTAGAATTGTAGGAATGTTTTATTATCCAAACACAGTCAGAACATTGTGGCTGTGTTCATAGTTGATACTATTGAGCGTTGTTTTTTTTCTTTTTATTAATAATGCTTCCATTATTTTTAGCCTTTTTATACATGTGGATGAGGTTATTAAATTTGTATTATCAACAAGTATGTTACAGATAGATTTTGGTAGGTCTCCATGTGTATTTAAACAAGATCTAACTGCAGTATCCTGTCACAAATTTTTAATGAAATGTGTGTTTATATATATATATATATATATATATATATATATATATATATATATATATATATAATATCTCACAGACAGTACTGATTTGCTGTATCACAGCTCCTCAGTGTGACTAGACATCCAAATGCCTCAAGCTAGGATTGAAACCTAACCAAACTTTTTTTTTAAAATCAACCTCTGGCAGGATTCGAACCTGCATCCCCTAAATGTCATTAGACTGAATAGTGCTTTTGAACATATATCTTTCTCTCAAAAGATTATTTGGATATTCAGGCCAGTAGATGTAATTAAATAAATAAATATACAGTTTGATAAATAAATAAAAACAGCATCTACTCAAATATGAGTATCCATTTAAAATAATGTTTAAACAAACATATATATATATATATATATATATATATATATATATATATATATATATATGCCAATATCAGTGTGCCACACTTTTTCAATTAAAGAGACACAACTCTCAATAGCTTATCTCCTTCATTGAACTTTTAAAAATTAAGCTTGAATATTAATAGGCAGCGATCAATTTAGAGTTCTTCTGTAGTTTTTATTATTTGCCTGTTGCATCTACTCCGCTCTACTTATTGTGATGAAGGTACAATCAAGAGCCCTCCACAGGAGTAAGTTTAAATATATATATATATATATATATATATATATATATATATATATATATGAATATATATATTATTTGAATATATTTTTATTTGGGCTGGTATATGTAAATAAATAAATATACTGTTTGATGAATAAATAAAAACAGGGCATCTACTCAAATATGAGTATCCATTTAAAATAACATTTAAAGAAATAAATTATATATAAAGGGCATTCAAAAATTGAGAAAAGCATATTATAAGAAAACAACACAATTTTTTTATATTTGTGTCATATAATAAGAAAATTAGTAACTACCGACACCCAGGTTCGAGCATGACACTCTGGACTTATGAATATATTTTCCACCAGGTGTATAAATAGCGGTGTCAGGCTACTGACTGTAGTGATTATTGAATGACTCTTGAGTGGAACTATCCAGTTGAATTAGTGTGAATTATTGTGCGTCGATGATTTGGGTTTTGATTTAGGATTTAGCAGGCGTTAAACCAAGCCATGGTACTAACAAGGTATTCACTGAAATGGTTAATTATCTTTGGTTGACTTTTACTTCATTGTTCTTGTTAAGTATTTATTTGCAGTTGTAATTAAATACTATTTTATTTTAACATTGAAGTCTTGAGTTATACTTAATCATTAACGGCCGCCATACATCACAAAAATTTGTTTACCACAAAGTAAACTTGAACTTTACTATCATAATGTTTTTGAATCAGAAATAATTTGAAGTAATAGATTGAAATTTACCTATATATAAAAAATCTCTCTCTTTAGAGCAATACAAGTCATGTCAAAATTTAAACCAAAACTATTTTTTTTATTAATAATGTTGACTCTATAGAAGTCCCAAGAGCCACTCAAGGTAGAATGTTCCTGAAGGTGGTTGCTGTGTGAGTGGTAACAGTAAGAGTTAAAAGGCACTGTTTATGAGGATATGTGGGAAGGATAACTGTTAATCTTGGATTTACCAATATAATTCTGAAGACAAGGCTCAGCTCAAAATTGGAAAATGTCCAGTCAAAACTAAGCAAGCTGGTCAGGGGGAAAGGTTATTGTGACAGTTTTCTGGGATGCTGACAGCATTTTTGTAGTTTAGAGGGGAAAAAGACAGCAACATCTTCTTATGAAAGTGTTTAAAAAAAACTGGCTAAAAGTTTGGCAAAATACCATGTGACACTTCATCAGAGAATTCTTTTCCGCCCACCATAACAATGATCCTGCCCATTCCTCTCACCAAAGAAAAGATTGTCAAATTTTGATGAGAAATCATTAGACATCCACCTTACAGTCCTGATTTAACACCTTCTGGTTTTTTTCTTATTTCCTATGTTTAATAATTTTTGAAAGGTGCCCATTTTGAGTGCATAAATGACATTAAATCTCAGGAACTTCAGTTCTTGCACAAAAATGTATAAATGATTAGAGAATCATTGCTTAGAGAAATGCCGTGATGCTGATGTAGTTTATGTGATGAAATAAAGCTTCACTATCTGTCTATATTTCTGAGATGAGGTATTATGTACACAATTTACATTATTCGGACTATTGTCCTCATCTTTGTCACCATGTTTATTACAATGTTTCTTTCCGCAGCTGCACGGGATAGCATACACACAGTCTTTAGTCATATTCTCCTCTGTGGAGGGTCTTACTCAGGAAAGATATCTGTGAAGTGTTGTCCAGCTTTTGAAAGTTGTGCAGCTGCAGAAAGGAATATAAAGGGGAGACAGGCCGCCCCCTTAAGGTAAGGCTTCAAGAACACCAGAAAGCTGTAACATGAGGGGAAGTGTAAAAATCAGGTGTGGCTGACCACATATGGAGAGAAAAGGGAGATCACCGCACTCTGTGGGATCAAGTTGAGATCATAGACAAAGAACATTATTGGAAAATTCATAAACTTAATGAATCAGCATGTATGCTAGGCCACAAAGCTTCTACTTTATAATGCTTGTTTTTACTTTCTCTCATATATATATATATATATATATATATATATATATATATATACACGTTGTAACTTAGAAAGGGGGGTTACTGAAGGAGGTTTGAAATGAAATGGTAATCTTCATAACGTCAACAAAATACGATATTTACCAGTGGCATGAAGTAGGTAAACCACTGCTAGTGGTTGACTACCTAAATAACATATTACCCCCACTTACAACAGTGTCCAACGTATTTATGAGGATTAGGACATGCCCATTAGTGTTCATAAATTACAGTATATAACAAAATATGTGTGTATGTGTTTGTGTGTGATGATGATGTTGATGATGATGATAACTGCAGCAGATGAGAAGGTTCCTCCCAGTCTCTAAAAATCCATGTTACCCACACAATTATTTAGCCATAGACTTGACCTCTCATGAACTTGTTGGGTTTCTTTTAAAAGCAGTTCATGATACAAAATGACAAGATAACAATATTATCAATTTTATTATTAATTACACATTTTAATTTATATTTAAAGATAGTAAAAGAAAGTTTATTGTTCCACTGGATTTCATAGTTAATACATTGCATGAAAATTTGGAGTAATAGCTTAAAACAGGTGTAGTCTTTTTTTCAAAATAATACATATATTTTTTATTATTAGTTAATAAGTAAAATTTTTACCAGACGAAAATAAATGAAAAGCACCAAAAACATCTTAAAGCAAATATATCCTGATTTAAAATATGAAAATAAATTATTGCATGATATCAATAGATATATGTTTTACTTCTTTACATGAAAAGAGAAATTTATTCCATAAAATGTACTTTGAATACAAAATTAATAATTAATATTAAAGATGGGAAAAGAAGGTTTATCATTCCACTGGGCTTTATAGATAACACATTGTGGGAAAATTTGGAGTAATAACTTAAAACAGGTGTCATCTTTTTTTCAAAATAATAAGTATATTTTTTATTAGTTAATAATAAGTAAAATGTTTTCTGGCCTGAAAATAAATGAAAAGGATAAAAATACCTTAATGCAAATATATCCTGATTTCAAGTATGAAAATAATTATTTTACGATATCATAAAATATATACTTCTTTACATTAACAGAGAAATTTCTTCCATAAAATATACTTTGAATACAAAATTAATAATGAATACTAATGACAAGAAAAGAAGGTTTATTGTACCACTGGGCTCCATGGTTAACACATTGCGTTAAAACTTGGAGTAATAGCTTAAAACAGGTATAGACTTTTTTAAAATAATACGTATATTTTTTATTATATATATTTGTTTCTTCCTTGCATCTAATTCAAGATCGATAAAGGTAGAAAATCAGGGTGAATCTATTTATTTATTTACCATCAAGTCATGTGACACATATAACCTCTTCACCTTTCAAGTCGTTGTTTATAAAATAAAAAGTTCTAATGTAGTGAATTGTATAAATATATATTGTGTTATGCTTATTTAATTTTATTTAATAATGTTGTTCTAATGTATTATGAATACATATTATATAATATTATTTTTCATACACATAATAGCTGGAATATAATATACAAGTGTTAGTTTATATATGTGGATTGAAGTAAGAATATCTATCATAAACAAATACTAAATTTTCTATTAAAAATGCCATGAAAATAGAGAAATAGGGGTTCAAGGTACAATATGTTCATAAATTTGTTGGTGTATCATTCAGTCATTCAGGACACACACACACACACACACACGTGTATATATATATATATATATATATATATATATATATATAAGGTTATAATTGTTCCAAGAGAAAAATGTATATTTTAAAAAAAGAGAGAAACTGCAAATGTTTTTGGTTTTAATGTGGATTTGTTTTTTAGTGTGTATATTTTATTCTTCATATATATATATATATATATATATATATATATATATATATATATATATATATATATATATGAAGTTTAGAGTTTTAGTATAGATAGTTTGCATAACACTATGTGGACTTTCATCATCACAGAGTGCCATGAAGACTCCAAATAGCCCGTGTTTCAAACTTTTTCTTCTCTTAGACTGGTTGCCACCCAAGGCAAAAAAGACTATGCTGCCCAGGTATTTAACCCATAGCTAGGGAATATAGACTCATGCTTTTCAAGGTTATTAGTTCTAAGTGAATGAAACAGAATCAGCTGGAATTTGAACATGCCTCAGCGATTTCACTTTCTGCAGATCCTACAGATATAGCATTAAATTTCAGAAAGTATTATAAGAAAAAGAAGAAGATAAAATATTTCACGAATAAAAATAAACTGAAGCTCATTTATGCAAAGTGAAGCATGGATCTACAATATTGACTGAATTGCCTGAAACCAATTTCTTTTGGTTGGCAGAATGCCGGGATGTTGCAGTAAATGCAAAGAGAAAGTTAAAAGTTGAGAAAGAGCACCTGCAGGAAAATGTGCATTCAAAGAAGGAAAAATTCAAAACTCAGGAATTGGCTGGCACTTCTTTCATCTTTTAGTCTCAATTAGTAGCGTCATTTGACTGAAGAGTTCAAAGTGCTAACAAAAAGCTTTAATAACAAAAGACTTTAGGAACATTGTCCTTTTATATCAGAAGTCACCATTCATTCAGATTAGACAGAAATGATGGAATATAAAAAAAATTATAGGTAACTTTAAATCTCTCCCTCTCTTTTGTCCTTTCTCTTTTCTTTTTTTTTCTACTTTGTGTCTATTGCTCTTTGTCTTTTCTCTGTTTCTTTTCTCTTTCTCTCTCTCTCATTACTTTCCTTTTTGCTCTCTTTAGATTCGCCTCTTCCACTGCTATTTTTCTTCTGCTTCATATCTCTCTGCTCTTTATCTCTCTTTCTGCTATTACTTTTTCTCTCTTTCATTGTTTTTACTGCTTCTTTGTTTCTCCCTTCACCTCTATTGTTGTTTTTCTTTTTTCTTTTTCTCTTCCCTTTCTCTTTTTTGACTTTTTCTCTACTCTTTTTTTTAAATTTTTCTCTTTTTTTCTCCTACTTTTTGTATACTATTTCTCTTTTTTTACTTTATTCTTCTCTCCTCTTTTTCTCTTCTTTTTCCCTTTTTCTCTTCTTTTTCCCTTTAGCTCTTCTTTCCCATTTTTCTTTTTTCTCTTCTTTCCCATTTTTCTTTTTTCTCTTCTTTCCCATTTTTCTTTTTTCTCTTCTTTCCCATTTTTCTTTTTTCTCTTCTTTCCCATTTTTCTTTTTCTCTTCTTTCCCATTTTTCTTTTCTCCTTTTTTTTCCCTTTTTCTTTTTCTCTTCTCTTTCACTTTTCTTTTTCCCTTCCATTTTTTCTCTTCTCTTTCCCTTTTTCTTTTCTCTTCTCTTTCTCTTCTCTTTTCTTTCCCTTTTTACTTTTCTCACTTGTTTCCCTTTTTCTTTTCCCCTTCTCATTCTCTTTTTTACTTTTTCTCTTATCTTTCACTTTTCTACTTCTTGTTTCTCCCCCCTTTTCTCCCTCTCTCTTTCTGTTCTCTTTATTTCTTTTTTTTTCTCACTTCTCTCTTTCTCTCCCTTTCTCTTAAAACATTCTCAGGTGTCAAAACTTTAACTACATTGGAAAGTATTAAGAAAATGATTAAAAAAACAAATTTTTTTACTAAAAGTTTCAATCTTCATCCTTTCACTCTTTCTGTGTCGTCTTTGCTTCTCCTTTTTTTAATTACTAAAGATACTTAATTCAGGAATTAATCTAACAAATCTTTGAAACAAAAGTCTTTCCTTTTCTTTAATACATGTCAAGATTGTCCCAATAAAATCAAAATGTTGGTAAAACTCTCAGGATATGCTTATATTTCTTTGAACACTATACTCTGAGCATATTTTGGCTCCCCCCCCCAGTGCTATATATTTGTGGGTGGAAGATTTTATTATCCAAGTTCCATCTTAGACACAAAAAGACAAACCGGAGATTGTAAGGGTATTGACTAATGCAAACACAACAGTTGAAATTGCAAACAAATTTGGAAAGAAATTGAGATGTATAAGTGCTCTTAGTAGTAGCTTGTATTACTAAGAAGTATTTGTGCTTAGTAGTGGATTGTTCTATTGAGAGGTGCGCTTAATAGTACTTTATACAATTGAGACATTTGTGCTTTGCAGTACTTTGTACTACCAAGAGGTATGTGTGCTTAGTAGTACTTTGTACTACTGAGATGTGTGCTTAATAGTACTTTATACTGCTGAGAGGTATTTGTGCTTCAGAATAATTTGTACTATGCAAAGGTATTAGTACTTTATAGTACTACTAAGAGGTATTTGTGCTTAGTAGTTCTTTATACCACTGAAAGACATGTATCCTTAGTAGAACTTTCTGCTATTGAGAGGTATTGATGCATAATAGTACTTTGTACCATTGAGTTATTTTTGCTTAGTAATACTTTGTACCACCAAAATTGATTTGTGCTTAGCCGTATTATGTATTACCAAGAGTGGTGGAAATGGGATACCAGCCATTGTCCTGAAGAAATGTGTGTCTGAACTGGCCCCTGCCCTCTCCAAATTATATAACTACTGCCTCAATAAATCTTGTTTTCCAGACTGTTGGAAGTTCTCATCCGTTGTTTCTATCTTTAAGAACTCGGTAGACCCTTCTGACCCTTTTCATTACCATCCTATCAGTATCCTATCACTCTTTGGTAAAGTCTTTGAAGCACCTTACATCCCATGATCTGCTCTCCGACAAGCAATATGGTTTCCACTTTGCCCGTTCTACAGCTGATGTGCTTACAACCATAACTGAAATTGTTTACCAAGCTCTTCATAATAACGGAGAAGCTCGTGTTGTAGCTCTTGATATCTCCAAAGGGTTTGGAATGCCGGCCTTCTTCGCAAGCTTCAGGGTTATGGAATTACAGATTGATTGTTCGACTTAATACAATCATTCCTGTTGAACCATACATTGAAGGTTGTTCTCAACAGATTCTCCTCCAGCTCCTATCCCACAAATGCAGGTGTTCCCCAAGGCTCCATCCTAGGCCCTACTCTGTTCCTTATCTTCATTAACGATCTTCCTGATGTCATAGGTTCCCAAGTGGGCATCTATGCAAATGACACTACTATTTACTCCTGCCTCAAAAACAAATCTAGTGTCGCCAACAAAACTAACCTGCCCATTTGTCTTGAAAAGAATCTCCAATCGGTTGTGGACTGGGGCAGGTATTGGCTGGTTAACTGTAATGCCTCAAAAACAAAACAACTTTCTATTACTCACCAGAGAGAACCGTCCCTGCCTCACCTTAGAATGGCTGATGCTCAACTCCACCAGAGCACCTCTTTGCGACTGCTCGGTCTCACATTGTCTGCTAACCTGAGATGGAACGAATACATTGAGTCAATAGCTTCGTCCACCACTAGGATAGTTGGCTCCCTATGCTGTGCCAGGAAATTTTTCTCACCAGAGTCGATCCTTCAATTCTAAAAATCTACCATTCGCCCTTGCATGGAGTATTGCTGCCATATATGGTCTGGAGCCCCTTCTGTTTATCTCAAGGTCCTTGATAAAATCCAAAGACGGATATGCAATGTAATTGGCCCTGATCTGGCATCTCACCTGCAGCCACTCTCTCACAGACATGCCATTGCCTCCCTCTGTCTTTTTTACAAATACTTTCATGGTAACTGCTCTGATAAGCTGCTTTCACTGGTTCCCAAACTTCATGAATTTAAGTGTTCAACTAGGCTGGCATCTTGCTCTCACCCTTTCACTGTCAAAACTGTTAAATGTAGCTGTCTTTTCTACTCCAACAGCTTCATGTCTCACACTTCTCGCCTGTGGAACTCCCTCCCCATTTCTTGTTTTCCTGATAACTATAATTTCTAACTATTCAAATGTAATGTCAATCGACGTCTTCAGATGCCCTGATCTATCCCCTAACCTCTTCATCCTTTCCTCTATCACTCCTCTTTGTTCTCGCTCCTACTCTGAAACCCTTTGCGTGCTAGTGGCTTCCCGCCTTGCTTGGGGTTGAATGCTTAATATATATAAATTACATAATTTATATGTAATTTATAGTAATTTATTTATATATGCTCTGTAATAAATACATTGAGCTCTCTTTGTGGATCAGTTTTAATATTTTCTATTATTAGGATTTACTTAAATTATTTACCCACAGATATTTACCTGTGTGTGCATATATATATATATATATATTCTTATTACTCCAAATATCATTTTAGTGGATACTCATGTTTGAGTTTCATGAACTTACCATTTTTTCAGCATCTTTAGCAAAATCTTGGATGTGTTACATAGCATGCTGAGGAATAGTGTGTCATATATCTCAGTTAGGAAGAGTGCAAGTGTCACACAGCTTGATAAGGAAGATGGGTCAATGAGTAGGGGAATCTTTAAGTTGTAGTGTAAAATAGTAATCATATACAAAACATAGCTCCACAATGTGGTCTTTCCATAATCTAGGTTACAGAATTGTTGTAACAGTTAAGTGGCATGGTGAAAATCTCTTTTTTTTTTTTTTCTTTCTTAGATTCATGACTCATGAATGTTTTCTTTGACCAGTTGTCTTTTGAAAGTCTCAGTTGAAGAATTTGGTAAATTCAGGCAAGCTGTTTATTTAATTTGCTTCCCACTCACTGATTGTCTTGGTTCTTACTGACACTGCTATTTCAATTCATTACATTAGAAGAGATTGAAGTGAAGAATAATTGTACATGAAGATTCGCATATCCCCAAATACAGAACTTAGGTTAAAATGAAATTAATTTTGATGAAAGCATTTTTGAACAGATATTTTCTATAGAATTTCTGTCTGCTATTAAAGTGCATTTCTCTCTGCTGCTAAAGTGCATTTCCCTTCAAGTTTATTTGTTTAAAATTCTTCAAAAATGATTGCCATAAATCAGCAATAGTTTTCATAATTCCTGAAAGACATGTTGGTAAAATTTGTTGTGGATGAAAATATTCAAATCAAACATTTTTCAGTCATTTTCTTCATATTATAAATCTTTTTTTTCTCATGGATTTTTATTCGTTGTTCGGGTTTCATATTCTATAGATGTAGGCAAATTGTAATATTTGTATACGTACATATATTCACATGTAAGTTTATATATGGATAGAAATATTTTACAAAGAATAAAATCATCATGATCACAAGTTCCACAATCTGTCCGGGTTGTAGGTGCTCCACATTTTCTTTTGTTATCATTCTAATTCAGTGTTTTTCTTTTCTTTTTGGCTTTTCTTTCTGAGAAACAAGAAACAATTTTTAGCTTATGTATTTATACTTGAATGTTTTATTCAAAAAATAGTCTTTCTATTTATATATAATGTCCTCTTGTAGATAATATAACCTCCTATTTTGGATGTGATATCATGTCACAAATTCCATTGGGACATCAGATGTACTACAGCTGTGGCAGCAATGGTGTATCTGGGGTAAGATAACCTGATGAAGCCCATCCCTCTGGTCTTGAATTCAGAGCAGTCCTTCTTCTAGACTGGTTGCTACCACATGGCTAGAGAACACAGTCTACCCTGCTATTTAACCTGTAGTTAGATGCAGTAGACCGTTTCATATCTATCTTCAGGGCATTTGTGTAAAAGTGAATGCAACAAACCAGAAGTTGAACTCTGTGAAACTGATTTTACTTTTTATGACACTCTCTGTGCATCCCTCATTTAAAAGGATGCACAGAAATATATTTTTAATCTGTTAATGGATTTGATAATCTGATATTATTTCTTATAACAAGGAATGTTATATTTAGTGGCTATATGTATTTGAGTAGACATCCTTTTCTAAAAAAAAAAGATCTACCTGCTTAGATATCAAAGTCTTACTAAAAAAAATGTGCTTTCCAACAGGAATAAAAACTGAACTCTCTCTCTCTCTCTTTTTTTTCTTTTTTTTTTTTTAAATCTGTGAAACTATATGCCAATCTCAGCCCCACAAGAGTGAGAAGAAAACTAGAGGCAGCAGAAATGTGACTCTACAGTAGAATACAATCACCATCTTCTGTTTGCCTTCTGTTTGCATCTTCTTTTATTATCCCTTTCTCTAAAATAATGTCTTCTCATTCTCTATCACTCCAGTAACTCGTTGCGTCTTAGTGACTTTATCGCCATCTTCTGTCTTCCTGAAAACTGTTCTTTTCTTGTCTTTTCTCCTCACTAAACTCTTCTCATTCTCTTTCACTCCCTGTAACCGCTTGTGTTTTAGTGGTATTACAACTGTTATAACAACATCAATAATAATGATGATGATTGTAAGCACTTCCAGTCCTACTAGGGAATGCTGGGATCAAGACGGATCCAGCAGCCAGTTTGAATAAATAAGTTGTTGAGTTTAACATGTCTTGTGTCATCTTTGTTTTGCTTCAACTTTTCAGAGGCCAGTTTCATGATATATATTTCCACCCTAAACCCAGTGGAGCAATTGCCATCTTCTGTCTTCCTGAAATCTGTTCTTTTATTGTCTTTTCTCCTCATTAATTTCTTTTCATTCATTTTCACTCCTTGTAACTCTTTGCATCTTAGTGGCATTATTGCTATCTTATGTCT